TCGCCTGACATGGTATCTTGTCTGAGAGCCCTTATCGCTTAGAGTTTATCTTGGAATCAAACCTTTGGTAGCGTTTAGCGTTAGTGTATGCGTGTGCCTGTTTGGCTCAGAGCTGCCCTGCCTGGGGGGTGTAGAGTCAGGAGTAAGTAGAACGGCAGTAGAAGTCAACGGTTTAAATGTTGATACGCTTAGACCGCCTAGGCGACAGACGTACGGTCACCTCGTAGTAGCCATCCAGAGGCTGTGCGGACGCTCATTTCTAGGGCGTTTTATGGAGACTGTTGGAGCGGTGTGGGAGCGGCGGTCCAGCAGTAGCAAATGAGATGGAATCTCAAAGGTGTTAAGGCTCGCAGGCGTGGGAGCGTACGCTCTGGGGGGAGGCGCGTGGTTTTCTTTTTAACAACAGGCTGTACTTGGATGCCAGCTAGTATCCCTAGGCGGAAGTGACACCTCCGGATTTGTTAAGCCTCCGGGTGACTCGCGTAACTGTTTTGACATGCAGATCGGTGAGATGCGCACCAAAGAGTGACGGGGGAGGTGAGCGGAGGGCTGTGAGAAGGTGGGTCACTGAGCGGTGCGGGAGGGAAGATGGCACCGGTGCTATCTGAGGGGATGATAGCGGTGTGTGGTGTGTTTTGTGGTGTTTTTTGTTTGTTGTTTTTGTTTTTTAGATGGAGAGCCACAAGCAAAGTAGGATTTTGGCACCGGAGGCAGCTTGGGTGAGGTGAGCCACGACGAGGGGGGTTAAAGTAGCAGTTCTTATTTTAGGCATCAAATTGTCGGTGAAAGTAGAAGCATCCCTTGTGGTCCGTGTGTTACAGGTGGCACGCGAGCCTTGATGTGACAACTGGAAACAGCAGCGGCAGGGCAGGTGAAGGGCCGAGGTAAGGGAGCGGGAGATGGGAATCCGTGCGGGCAGACCCCAGTTTCAGGCGGTAACTCTCGGCACGTGTCTTTTCCTTGAGTTTTTTGCAGGTGCCGCAGATGGCCGCGGAGGGGCCGAGCCGCACGCAGACCGACAGTCTGAGAAGGTGAGGCGGTTGTCAGCCAGGTCGGTGTCTAATACGGAAGTATCGTAGGACCGCTCCGTTGAGCGCTCGCCTTGTTTTTGCAGGTGCTTTGGGAGCCGCCTTTGGGATCGGATGAGCGTTTGAAGCGAGCCGGGGTAGTCGCAAGGAGGATGGTGGGTGACTCGTTAGAAGCGCAAGGGTAACTTTGTCTCTCGGTATCTTAGGTAACGCCAGCGACGACGGCTGCAGCATCTGACTCTGCAAAGAGCCGGTGAGCGGAACCCCGCGCTGCTTCTGAGTACAGGGGGGTGTCGTGGAAGAGGTAGGCACGGAGCAGCGCGATGCCGACGGCCGGTTGTGTTTTCTCCCGTTGGTGTTTTCTTGCAGGTGAAGAGGAAGGCGGCAACTGCAGGAACGTGCTAGTTAGCTGCCGCGCTGCTTTTGTCGAGGATGGAATCGGACCTCCGGCCCTGTGAAAGCTAAGTCGACCGAACGGGGCCGCGAGGAGGGGCCGAGGTTGGGAATTGCAGGGGAGTGTTTGAAAGTTAGCACGGGGGAGAAGGCTGTACGGGAGCGGGGCCCTCCGGTCAGGTAAAGGGAACGGATTACTTTTTCCCCTCGATGTTAGCGTGTCCCGGGCAGGGCAGTTCCAGCCTCTGCGTGTGTCATCGTGTAGTTTGTTTCTTCTGTCTGCCGTGTCTTTGCCCTTCCTCGGCTCTAAATGTCCTCGCGTCTCTTTGGGCTCGAGGAGCTCGGCACGCGTCTCGGGGGCCATCCCTAGGGTTTCGAACGCCCATCTTCATCGGCACGCTGCCGATCGGGTGCTTTTTTTATTCTTGCGTTATGAGCTTAAAGCGTGGGTAGGTCTTGGAAGTTTCCGGTCGGGAGTCTTTTGCGCAGCATCGTCGCAGGCTCTGGCGTCAGCCCTGCTATTTAGGCATCCGTTGTTCCTGCCGGTGACTTCTTTCCCGTATCCTGACGTTCTTAGGTCTTGAAGCCCATCTTCTTGCGTACCCATCGTCTCGGTTTTGACGGTAGCTTCTCGTAAGGGGCCGTTCCACTTAGTGCTTCTTGTAGGCTGCCGTATAGCCTCCTCACGTCGCCATCGTGGCCCTCCGAGTCTTCTCGCCTTACGGCATACCCTTCTGGGTGTCCTTATCGCTTAGCGTTTAGTCCTCTTTGAATCGCGTCATTTGTAGTATTTTGTGTGTGTCTGTGTGGCTCGGAGCTGCTCTGCCTGGGGGTGTGGAGTCTCAGGGATAGGTGGAATAGAGTTCACGGGTACACTGTATGGGTTTGTTTTAAATAAGAAAACGAATCCTCCAACTGGGTGACATCTTTGTCTCCCCGGTGGGGTTTATTTTCACCCAGTCGCAGATGCTCTCTGAGGGTGACGGTCGCGGTCAGCGTCTGGGTGAAGGTCAGGTTTGGGCCGGGATTTCCTCAGGCTAGGCGCTCGAGTCCCCCAGGAACGGTATTCAGGGGGTGACTGCCCGTCGTGACGGTTGGGCGGAAGGATGGGCCGGTGGAGAGTGGGGGTTGGTTTTGGCGGTAGGTGGAATAGCGGCATGTTTAGAACGTGTCTAGCTGTGTAAGAGTATTTGTCGTCTCTTTTCTTCCAGGATGTAGGCGGGGCTCAATTTGACTACGTAGACTGGATTTAATGAAAACCTCTGTCAGGGGAATAAACTTCTGTTTTTTCCTGTCTCCTGGCTGGGTAGTTTTTCCCTGGTCCCGGCCGGTGTGTGACGCAAGGATCGTTATCTGGATTTGGGTGCAGGTCAGGCTCAGGCTGGAGTTTTTTCAGGCAGGATGATTTTTTGAGGCCCCCGTACCTGGTGTTTCTGAGGATCACGGAGGGTGATGACTTGTGGCGGTTTCGGTGGTAGGGTGGCCGAGGGGAGAGCGGGTGGTGGTTTGAGTGGTAGCTGGCTGTGTGGCGTTTAAAATGTGTGTAGCAGTGCCTGAATGGTTGATGTTTTGTTTTTTCCTTACGGGCTGTAGGTTGTGTAGCTTTTGTTTAGAGGCAGTAGACAGACAAAATAGAAAATAAAATATAAAAAAAAAAACAAAATACAAACAAAAAAAAAAAAAAAACAAAAAACAAACAAACAAACAAACAAAAAAAAAAAAAAAAAAAAAAAAAACAAACCACACAAAACCAAAAATCCAAAAAACCCAAAACGGCTGGGGGACAAGAAATTTTTTTTCTTCCTGTCCCCTGGCTGGGTTTTTACTCCCCGCTCCTGGCCGGTCTGCGAGGCGACTGTTGTCGCCTATGTTTGGGCGCAGGTCTGTCTCAGGCTGGTGTTTTTAAGGCAGTGAAACAAAAAAGGGCCGAACAATAGGCCTCAAACCAAGGTTGACTTCTGAGTGAATCCCCTGACCAGCGACCAGCATCTTATCAGCGTGAAAATGCACCCCTGGGAAGGATCCCTGGGAACAATCAGTAAACGACAGGAAGTAACTATAAATCCCAAATGTACCGAAAAAGAGGAACTCCTCAGACATGCCCGGATCCTGGCCAGATCTGGACGTGCCCGAGTGAGGCATATCAACCTCCCAGATATCTCCTGTGCATTTTGCATAGACTTGTTTGTTAAACTGTATAAAAGCCGGACCCTCTCGCAGCAAAGACGGAGACCTTACCTACGAGTGGACGCACTGCGTGGGACTTCCCAATTGCCGGGAAAGGCTCTCCGACCCTTCGCTGTGACGGGGCTCCCCAGCTGATGCACGGATCTGGATGATGGTCAAGTAGGAAGGCAACTGGTGATGTATCTTTCTTAATCACTAGAGCTAGCTTTATGTAGTAATGACTAGATGCGTTACCTCGCTTATTCTTTCTGCTGCTTTAAACCAAAGTGAAATAAGCCTATTTCTTTAGCTTGGTGATGTGTCCTTTGTGTTAACCCTGTCAATTGGCAAAACTGGCAGGCAGAAATTTTTTTGTGTGGCCTCCCCGGGAAGAGCCGGTTGTGTTTTCTCCCGTTTGTTTTTTCTTGCAGGTGAAGAGGAAGGCGTCAACTGCAGGAACGTGCTAGTTAGTTGCCGCGCTGCTTTTGTCGAGGATGGAATCGGACCTCCGGCCCTCTGAAAGCTGAGTCGAGCGAACGGGGCCGAGGTTGGGAATTGCAGGGAAGTGTTTGAAAGTTAGCACGGGGGAGAAGGCTGTACGGGAGCGGGGCCCTCCGGTCAGGTAAAGGGAACGGATTACTTTTTCCCTCGATGTTAGCGTGTCCCGGGCAGGGCAGTTCCAGCCTCTGCGTGTGTCATCGTGTAGTTTGTTTCTTCTGTCTGCCATGTCTTTGCCCTTCCTCGGCTCTAAATGTCCTCACATCTCTTTGTGCTCGAGGAGCACGGCACGTGGTTGAGGCGCCATCCCTAGGGTATTGAACGCCCATCTTCATCGGCACGCTGCCGATCGGGTGCTTTTTTTATTCTTGCGTTATGAGCTTAAAGCGTGGGTAGGTCTTGGAAGTTTCCAGTCGGGAGTCTTTTGCGCAGCATCGTCGCCGGCTGCGGCATCAGCTCTGCTCCTTAGGCATCCATTTTCACAGACTGCGACGTCTCCCCTGCATCCCTCCGTCCTAGGATTCGGACTCCTACTTCTCATCCACCGTCTCGGTTTTGACGGTAGCTTCGTATAACGGGCCATAACGCGTGACTCTTTCTGGGGCTGCCGTATAGCCTCCTCGCCTCCCAGTTGTGGCCCTCTAGGTCTTCTCGCCTGACATGGTATCTTGTCTGAGAGCCCTTATCGCTTAGAGTTTATCTTGGAATCAAACCTTTGGTAGCGTTTAGCGTTAGTGTATGCGTGTGCCTGTTTGGCTCAGAGCTGCCCTGCCTGGGGGGTGTAGAGTCAGGAGTAAGTAGAACGGCAGTAGAAGTCAACGGTTTAAATGTTGATACGCTTAGACCGCCTAGGCGACAGACGTACGGTCACCTCGTAGTAGCCATCCAGAGGCTGTGCGGACGCTCAATTCTAGGGCGTTTTATGGAGACTGTTGGAGCGGTGTGGGAGCGGCGGTCCAGCAGTAGCAAATGAGATGGAATCTCAAAGGTGTTAAGGCTCGCAGGCGTGGGAGCGTACGCTCTGGGGGGAGGCGCGTGGTTTTCTTTTTAACAACAGGCTGTAGTTGGATGCCGGCTAGTATCCCTAGGCGGAAGTGACACCTCCGGATTTGTTAAGCCTCCGGGTGACTCGCGTAACTGTTTTGACATGCAGATCGGTGAGATGCGCACCAAAGAGTGACGGGGGAGGTGAGCGGAGCGCTGTGAGAAGGTGGGTCACTGAGCGGTGCGGGAGGGAAGATGGCACCGGTGCTATCTGAGGGGATGATAGCGGTGTGTGGTGTGTTTTGTGGTGTTTTTTGTTTGTTGTTTTTGTTTTTTAGATGGAGAGCCACAAGCAAAGTAGGATTTTGGCACCGGAGGCAGCTTGGGCGAGGTGAGCCACGACGAGGGGGGTTAAAGTAGCAGTTCTTATTTTAGGCATCAAATTGTCGGTGAAAGTAGAAGCATCCCTTGTGGTCCGTGTGTTACAGGTGGCACGCGAGCCTTGACGTGACAACTGGAAACAGCAGCGGCAGGGCAGGTGAAGGGCCGAGGTAAGGGAGCGGGAGATGGGAATCCGTGCGGGCAGACCCCAGTTTCAGGCGGTAACTCTCGGCACGTGTCTTTTCCTTGAGTTTTTTGCAGGTGCCGCAGATGGCCGCGGAGGGGCCGAGCCGCACGCAGACCGACAGTCTGAGAAGGTGAGGCGGTTGTCAGCCAGGTCGGTGTCTAATACGGAAGTATCGTAGGACCGCTCCGTTGAGCGCTCGCCTTGTTTTTGCAGGTGCTTTGGGAGCCGCCTTTGGGATCGGATGAGCGTTTGAAGCGAGCCGGGGTAATCGCAAGGAGGATGGTGGGTGACTCGTTAGAAGCGCAAGGGTAACTTTGTCTCTCGGTATCTTAGGTAACGCCAGCGACGACGGCTGCAGCATCTGACTCTGCAAAGAGCCGGTGAGCGGAACCCCGCGCTGCTCCTGAGTACAGGGGGGTGTCGTGGAAGAGGTAGGCACGGAGCAGCGCGATGCCGACGGCCGGTTGTGTTTTCTCCCGTTGGTGTTTTCTTGCAGGTGAAGAGGAAGGCGGCAACTGCAGGAACGTGCTAGTTAGCTGCCGCGCTGCTTTTGTCGAGGATGGAATCGGACCTCCGGCCCTGTGAAAGCTAAGTCGACCGAACGGGGCCGCGAGGAGGGGCCGAGGTTGGGAATTGCAGGGGAGTGTTTGAAAGTTAGCACGGGGGAGAAGGCTGTACGGGAGCGGGGCCCTCCGGTCAGGTAAAGGTAACGGATTACTTTTTCCCCTCGATGTTAGCGTGTCCCGGGCAGGGCAGTTCCAGCCTCTGCGTGTGTCATCGTGTAGTTTGTTTCTTCTGTCTGCCGTGTCTTTGCCCTTCCTCGGCTCTAAATGTCCTCGCGTCTCTTTGGGCTCGAGGAGCTCGGCACGCGTCTCGGGGGCCATCCCTAGGGTTTCGAACGCCCATCTTCATCGGCACGCTGCCGATCGGGTGCTTTTTTTATTCTTGCGTTATGAGCTTAAAGCGTGGGTAGGTCTTGGAAGTTTCCGGTCGGGAGTCTTTTGCGCAGCATCGTCGCAGGCTCTGGCGTCAGCTCTGCTATTTAGGCATCCGTTGTTCCTGCCGGTGACTTCTTTCCCGTATCCTGACGTTCTTAGGTCTTGAAGCCCATCTTCTTGCGTACCCATCGTCTCGGTTTTGACGGTAGCTTCTCGTAAGGGGCCGTTCCACTTAGTGCTTCTTGTAGGCTGCCGTATAGCCTCCTCACGTCGCCATCGTGGCCCTCCGAGTCTTCTCGCCTTACGGCATACCCTTCTGGGTGTCCTTATCGCTTAGCGTTTAGTCCTCTTTGAATCGCGTCATTTGTAGTATTTTGTGTGTGTCTGTGTGGCTCGGAGCTGCTCTGCCTGGGGATGTGGAGTCTCAGGGATAGGTGGAATAGAGTTCACGGGTACACTGTATGGGTTTGTTTTAAATAAGAAAACGAATCCTCCAACTGGGTGACATCTTTGTCTCCCCGGTGGGGTTTATTTTCACCCAGTCGCAGATGCTCTCTGAGGGTGACGGTCGCGGTCAGCGTCTGGGTGAAGGTCAGGTTTGGGCCGGGATTTCCTCAGGCTAGGCGCTCGAGTCCCCCAGGAACGGTATTCAGGGGGTGACTGCCCGTCGTGACGGTTGGGCGGAAGGATGGGCCGGTGGAGAGTGGGGGTTGGTTTTGGCGGTAGGTGGAATAGCGGCATGTTTAGAACGTGTCTAGCTGTGTAAGAGTATTTGTCGTCTCTTTTCTTCCAGGATGTAGGCGGGGCTCAATTTGACTACGTAGACTGGATTTAATGAAAACCTCTGTCAGGGGAATAAACTTCTGTTTTTTCCTGTCTCCTGGCTGGGTAGTTTTTCCCTGGTCCCGGCCGGTGTGTGACGCAAGGATTGTTATCTGGATTTGGGTGCAGGTCAGGCTCAGGCTGGAGTTTTTTCAGGCAGGATGATTTTTTGAGGCCCCCGTACCTGGTGTTTCTGAGGATCACGGAGGGTGATGACTTGTGGCGGTTTCGGTGGTAGGGTGGCCGAGGGGAGAGCGGGTGGTGGTTTGAGTGGTAGCTGGCTGTGTGGCGTTTAAAATGTGTGTAGCAGTGCCTGAATGGTTGATGTTTTGTTTTTTCCTTACGGGCTATAGGTTGTGTAGCTTTTGTTTAGAGGCAGTAGACAGACAAAATAGAAAATAAAATATAAAAAAAAAAAACAAAATACAAACAAAAAAAAAAAAACAAAAACAAAAAAAAAAACCAAAAAAAAAAAAAAAAACAAAAAAAACCAAACCACACAAAACCAAAAATCCAAAAAACCCAAAACGGCTGGGGGACAAGAAATTTTTTCTCTTCCTGTCCCCTGGCTGGGTTTTTACTCCCCGCTCCTGGCCGGTCTGCGAGGCGACTGTTGTCGCCTATGTTTGGGCGCAGGTCTGTCTCAGGCTGGTGTTTTTAAGGCAGTGAAACAAAAAAGGGCCGAACAATAGGCCTCAAACCAAGGTTGACTTCTGAGTGAATCCCCCGACCAGCGACCAGCATCTTATCAGCGTGAAAATGCACCCCTGGGAAGGATCCCTGGGAACAATCAGTAAACGACAGGAAGTAACTATAAATCCCAAATGTACCGAAAAAGAGGAACTCCTCAGACATGCCCGGATCCTGGCCAGATCTGGACGTGCCCGAGTGAGGCATATCAACCTCCCAGATATCTCCTGTGCATTTTGCATAGACTTGTTTGTTAAACTGTATAAAAGCCGGACCCTCTCGCAGCAAAGACGGAGACCTTACCTACGAGTGGACGCACTGCGTGGGACTTCCCAATTGCCGGGAAAGGCTCTCCGACCCTTCGCTGTGACGGGGCTCCCCAGCTGATGCACGGATCTGGATGATGGTCAAGTAGGAAGGCAACTGGTGATGTATCTTTCTTAATCACTAGAGCTAGCTTTATGTAGTAATGACTAGATGCGTTACCTCGCTTATTCTTTCTGCTGCTTTAAACCAAAGTGAAATAAGCCTATTTCTTTAGCTTGGTGATGTGTCCTTTGTGTTAACCCCGTCAATTGGCAAAACAGGCAGGCAGAAATTTTTTTGTGTGGCCTCCCCGGGAAGAGCCGGTTGTGTTTTCTCCCGTTTGTTTTTTCTTGCAGGTGAAGAGGAAGGCGTCAACTGCAGGAACGTGCTAGTTAGTTGCTGCGCTGCTTTTGTCGAGGATGGAATCGGACCTCCGGCCCTCTGAAAGCTAAGTCGAGCGAACGGGGCCGAGGTTGGGAATTGCAGGGAAGTGTTTGAAAGTTAGCACGGGGGAGAAGGCTGTACGGGAGCGGGGCCCTCCGGTCAGGTAAAGGGAACGGATTACTTTTTCCCTCGATGTTAGCGTGTCCCGGGCAGGGCAGTTCCAGCCTCTGCGTGTGTCATCGTGTAGTTTGTTTCTTCTGTCTGCCGTGTCTTTGCCCTTCCTCGGCTCTAAACGTCCTCGCGTCTCTTTGGGCTCGAGGAGCTCGGCACGCGTCTCGGGGGCCATCCCTAGGGTATCGAACGCCCATCTTCATCGGCACGCTGCCGATCGGGTGCTTTTTTTATTCTTGCGTTATGAGCTTAAAGCGTGGGTAGGTCTTGGAAGTTTCCGGTCGGGAGTCTTTTGCGCAGCATCGTCGCCGGCTGCGGCATCAGCTCTGCTCCTTAGGCATCCATTTTCACGGACTGCGACGTCTCCCCTGCATCCCTCCGTCCTAGGATTCGGACTCCTACTTCTCATCCACCGTCTCGGTTTTGACGGTAGCTTCGTATAACGGGCCATAACGCGTGACTCTTTCTGGGGCTGCCGTATAGCCTCCTCGCCTCCCAGTTGTGGCCCTCTAGGTCTTCTCGCCTGACATGGTATCTTGTCTGAGAGCCCTTATCGCTTAGAGTTTATCTTGGAATCAAACCTTTGGTAGCGTTTAGCGTTAGTGTATGCGTGTGCCTGTTTGGCTCAGAGCTGCCCTGCCTGGGGGGTGTAGAGTCAGGAGTAAGTAGAACGGCAGTAGAAGTCAACGGTTTAAATGTTGATACGCTTAGACCGCCTAGGCGACAGACGTACGGTCACCTCGTAGTAGCCATCCAGAGGCTGTGCGGACGCTCATTTCTAGGGCGTTTTATGGAGACTGTTGGAGCGGTGTGGGAGCGGCGGTCCAGCAGTAGCAAATGAGATGGAATCTCAAAGGTGTTAAGGCTCGCAGGCGTGGGAGCGTACGCTCTGGGGGGAGGCGCGTGGTTTTCTTTTTAACAACAGGCTGTAGTTGGATGCCGGCTAGTATCCCTAGGCGGAAGTGACACCTCCGGATTTGTTAAGCCTCCGGGTGACTCGCGTAACTGTTTTGACATGCAGATCGGTGAGATGCGCACCAAAGAGTGACGGGGGAGGTGAGCGGAGCGCTGTGAGAAGGTGGGTCACTGAGCGGTGCGGGAGGGAAGATGGCACCGGTGCTATCTGAGGGGATGATAGCGGTGTGTGGTGTGTTTTGTGGTGTTTTTTGTTTGTTGTTTTTGTTTTTTAGATGGAGAGCCACAAGCAAAGTAGGATTTTGGCACCGGAGGCAGCTTGGGCGAGGTGAGCCACGACGAGGGGGGTTAAAGTAGCAGTTCTTATTTTAGGCATCAAATTGTCGGTGAAAGTAGAAGCATCCCTTGTGGTCCGTGTGTTACAGGTGGCACGCGAGCCTTGACGTGACAACTGGAAACAGCAGCGGCAGGGCAGGTGAAGGGCCGAGGTAAGGGAGCGGGAGATGGGAATCCGTGCGGGCAGACCCCAGTTTCAGGCGGTAACTCTCGGCACGTGTCTTTTCCTTGAGTTTTTTGCAGGTGCCGCAGATGGCCGCGGAGGGGCCGAGCCGCACGCAGACCGACAGTCTGAGAAGGTGAGGCGGTTGTCAGCCAGGTCGGTGTCTAATACGGAAGTATCGTAGGACCGCTCCGTTGAGCGCTCGCCTTGTTTTTGCAGGTGCTTTGGGAGCCGCCTTTGGGATCGGATGAGCGTTTGAAGCGAGCCGGGGTAGTCGCAAGGAGGATGGTGGGTGACTCGTTAGAAGCGCAAGGGTAACTTTGTCTCTCGGTATCTTAGGTAACGCCAGCGACGACGGCTGCAGCATCTGACTCTGCAAAGAGCCGGTGAGTGGAACCCCGCGCTGCTTCTGAGTACAGGGGGGTGTCGTGGAAGAGGTAGGCACGGAGCAGCGCGATGCCGACGGCCGGTTGTGTTTTCTCCCGTTGGTGTTTTCTTGCAGGTGAAGAGGAAGGCGGCAACTGCAGGAACGTGCTAGTTAGCTGCCGCGCTGCTTTTGTCGAGGATGGAATCGGACCTCCGGCCCTGTGAAAGCTAAGTCGACCGAACGGGGCCGCGAGGAGGGGCCGAGGTTGGGAATTGCAGGGGAGTGTTTGAAAGTTAGCACGGGGGAGAAGGCTGTACGGGAGCGGGGCCCTCCGGTCAGGTAAAGGTAACGGATTACTTTTTCCCCTCGATGTTAGCGTGTCCCGGGCAGGGCAGTTCCAGCCTCTGCGTGTGTCATCGTGTAGTTTGTTTCTTCTGTCTGCCGTGTCTTTGCCCTTCCTCGGCTCTAAATGTCCTCGCGTCTCTTTGGGCTCGAGGAGCTCGGCACGCGTCTCGGGGGCCATCCCTAGGGTATCGAACGCCCATCTTCATCGGCACGCTGCCGATCGGGTGCTTTTTTTATTCTTGCGTTATGAGCTTAAAGCGTGGGTAGGTCTTGGAAGTTTCCGGTCGGGAGTCTTTTGCGCAGCATCGTCGCAGGCTCTGGCGTCAGCTCTTCTATTTAGGCATCCGTTGTTCCTGCCGGTGACTTCTTTCCCGTATCCTGACGTTCTTAGGTCTTGAAGCCCATCTTCTTGCGTACCCATCGTCTCGGTTTTGACGGTAGCTTCTCGTAAGGGGCCGTTCCACTTAGTGCTTCTTGTAGGCTGCCGTATAGCCTCCTCACGTCGCCATCGTGGCCCTCCGAGTCTTCTCGCCTTACGGCATACCCTTCTGGGTGTCCTTATCGCTTAGCGTTTAGTCCTCTTTGAATCGCGTCATTTGTAGTATTTTGTGTGTGTCTGTGTGGCTCGGAGCTGCTCTGCCTGGGGGTGTGGAGTCTCAGGGATAGGTGGAATAGAGTTCACGGGTACACTGTATGGGTTTGTTTTAAATAAGAAAACGAATCCTCCAACTGGGTGACATCTTTGTCTCCCCGGTGGGGTTTATTTTCACCCAGTCGCAGATGCTCTCTGAGGGTGACGGTCGCGGTCAGCGTCTGGGTGAAGGTCAGGTTTGGGCCGGGATTTCCTCAGGCTAGGCGCTCGAGTCCCCCAGGAACGGTATTCAGGGGGTGACTGCCCGTCGTGACGGTTGGGCGGAAGGATGGGCCGGTGGAGAGTGGGGGTTGGTTTTGGCGGTAGGTGGAATAGCGGCATGTTTAGAACGTGTCTAGCTGTGTAAGAGTATTTGTCGTCTCTTTTCTTCCAGGATGTAGGCGGGGCTCAATTTGACTACGTAGACTGGATTTAATGAAAACCTCTGTCAGGGGAATAAACTTCTGTTTTTTCCTGTCTCCTGGCTGGGTAGTTTTTCCCTGGTCCCGGCCGGTGTGTGATGCAAGGATCGTTATCTGGATTTGGGTGCAGGTCAGGCTCAGGCTGGAGTTTTTTCAGGCAGGATGATTTTTTGAGGCCCCCGTACCTGGTGTTTCTGAGGATCACGGAGGGTGATGGCTTGTGGCGGTTTCGGTGGTAGGGTGGCCGAGGGGAGAGCGGGTGGTGGTTTGAGTGGTAGCTGGCTGTGTGGCGTTTAAAATGTGTGTAGCAGTGCCTGAATGGTTGATGTTTTGTTTTTTCCTTACGGGCTGTAGGTTGTGTAGCTTTTGTTTAGAGGCAGTAGACAGACAAAATAGAAAATAAATATAAAAAAAAAAAAAAAATACAAACAAAAAAAAAAACAAAAAAAAACAAAACAAAAAAAAACAAAAAAAACAAAAACAAAAAAAACCAAACCACACAAAACCAAAAATCCAAAAAACCCAAAACGGCTGGGGGACAAGAAATTTTTTCTCTTCCTGTCCCCTGGCTGGGTTTTTACTCCCCGCTCCTGGCCGGTCTGCGAGGCGACTGTTGTCGCCTATGTTTGGGCGCAGGTCTGTCTCAGGCTGGTGTTTTTAAGGCAGTGAAACAAAAAAGGGCCGAACAATAGGCCTCAAACCAAGGTTGACTTCTGAGTGAATCCCCCGACCAGCGACCAGCATCTTATCAGCGTGAAAATGCACCCCTGGGAAGGATCCCTGGGAACAATCAGTAAACGACAGGAAGTAACTATAAATCCCAAATGTACCGAAAAAGAGGAACTCCTCAGACATGCCCGGATCCTGGCCAGATCTGGACGTGCCCGAGTGAGGCATATCAACCTCCCAGATTATCTCCTGTGCATTTTGCATAGACTTGTTTGTTAACTGTATAAAAGCCGGACCCCTCTCGCAGCAAAGACGGAGACCTTACCTACGAGTGGGACCACTGCGTGGGACTTCCCAATTGCCGGGAAAGGCTCTCCGACCCTTCGCTGTGACGGGCTCCCCAGCTGATGCACGGATCTGGATGATGGTCAGCAAGTAGGAAGGCAACTGTGATGTATCTTTCTTAATCACTAGAGCTAGCTTTTATTAAGACTAGATGCGTTACCTCGCTTATTCTTTCT